TATATATATATATATATATATATATATATATATATATATATATATATATAACATCATCTGATCGCCGTGCCTGCGTACTACGGTCAAAATACACTCCTCGGACATCGTCTGTTCTTCCATTTTAGAACAAGTTCCTCTTACAGGCAACATAGGGCGATTAGCAATATAGTAATATTACATATATGCTGAAGGCACCGCTTCTTTCTCTGTCTAGTGATTTTTGATTGGTTGAAATTTTCTATGCTCTTTTCTACTTACAATTATTCTCCACAGAAATATTTCTTTCTATTTTGTCTGCGTTCCGAAATTTATTGCCAATACTGGAAATCTATAGTTTATGTTACGTATATTATAAATTTTAGAATACAGCCTTTATAAAGAGATTATGAATATCGTCTCTAAACACAAACCGTTCCAACTGATGTTTTCAGATCGAATAGTACAACAATAGAAAGAGAGAAAACGGTTCCTGTTTTCCCTTTCACTCGGCCCGTTTCTTCCCATCTAACTAAGCATTCCAGTATGTATATATTTCACTGAGTATTACAACCGCTTACAGAGCGTTTAATGAGTTCTTACATTCAATTGACATATTCCTTTAGATTTGAAAATATATACCAATCAGATGCAAGAATTCACTAGGTTTGTCGTGTCGTATATCCCAACGTGCTCTTACTCGCTTCAACGCACTCTGATTGGTCCGCGTGGTGACGTGAACCAATCAGAGTGCGTTGGAGCGAGTAGGAGCACGTTGGGATATACGACGCGACAAACCTAGTGAGTTCTTGCATCTGATTGGTATATATTTTCGGTCCGCGTGGTGACGTGAACCAATCAGAGTGCGTTGGAGCGAGTAGGAGCACGTTGGGATATACGACGCGACAAACCTAGTGAGTTCTTGCATCTGATTGGTATATATTTTCGGTCCGCGTGGTGACGTGAACCAATCAGAGTGCGTTGGAGCGAGTAGGAGCACGTTGGGATATACGACGCGACAAACCTAGTGAGTTCTTGCATCTGATTGGTATATATTTTCGGTCCGCGTGGTGACGTGAACCAATCAGAGTGCGTTGGAGCGAGTAGGAGCACGTTGGGATATACGACGCGACAAACCTAGTGAGTTCTTGCATCTGATTGGTATATATTTTCGGTCCGCGTGGTGACGTGAACCAATCAGAGTGCGTTGGAGCGAGTAGGAGCACGTTGGGATATACGACGCGACAAACCTAGTGAGTTCTTGCATCTGATTGGTATATATTTTCGGTCCGCGTGGTGACGTGAACCAATCAGAGTGCGTTGAAGCAAGTAGGAACACGTTGGGGCTTGCGACACGAACAAACCTAAAGAATTTCTGAGAGCGATTGTAGTATTAGAAGCATCCACTGGATGAAAACCATTTAACGCTGCAAACGCTTTGAAGCACTTTATAAGCCAATATAGTCGTGCATTACATATCTAAAGCGTTTGTAGCTTCAAGAGGATCCTAACTACTGTCTAAGATTAGACCCGTTATTTCCGCATTAGTTCAAAAGTCTCCGTTACGTTGCGCCACTTACCGGGCGAGGAATTGAAGTAAAACTATACAACAGATTGCATACAATCAAGTAGTACTTCACTTCATCAAATAGTATTACTCAAAGGTGGATTAGACATATTTTTATTTTATTGTCATAAAAAATAGACAAACGCTTTTGAAAAATTGACAAACATAAAAAACATGATTTTTGTTTAAAAATATGGATATTAAATTCTATATTGAGAAATCCCATATAGCACAAATCTCTAAAAGACTTTTTAAAGAGTTTCAAAAGAATTCTTAAGTCCTCTAGAACACTTTTGGAATTCTTTAAGAAGTCTTTTAGAGATTTGTGCTATATGGGATATTTATTAGGTTTTATTTTGTAATTTGCACAATGCATTTTACAAGTTTATATGTTAGATGTGTCTGTAACAAATGTTTTATATATTCTCAGTATTAAAATACATCATTTTACAAAATATTGTAAAAAGTTTTTGAATATTATAAAAATTGTTCAGAATTTTGAAACAGTTTTTGTTTAGAGTTGTTAGATGTGTTAGACGTGTTGTTAATTACTTCTTTCCAAATTTAGGTGAATATCCAGATATTTTTAAAATATATTACAATCGAAGATAATATTTTAATTATTAGTTGTGGGAATTCTACGCTTAAAATGTCACTATATGTGTTGATTACACAAGTACTCTGGTAAAAAAAAGTTGATAGAGAACGATAGAATAAAATTCTATCGTTCTATTGTTTTCTATCGTTTTGAATATGGATTTTGGTTCGTGAATTTACAAGTGTGAATAGTATTCTATCATATACGATAGAATACAATAGATACTCAGACAATGTCTAAAATCGGGTCATTAGACGTCTTTAAAAAGTCTTAAAGACGTCCTAAAGACGTCTTATAACTCGATTTTGGACATTTGTGCTGTCTGAATAGTGATAGAATTTATATCGTTAGTTTCCTATAGAATACAAAATTGTATATAAAATGCGAGATAAAATACAATAAAATACGATGTAATAAAATGCAGATAAAATACGATAAAATACGATGTGATAAAATGCAGATAAAATACGATAAAATATGACCCCTGCACAGCAGTGCGATTATGTAACTCGTTAAAATTAGTTAACGACAGTTAACCGGACGTGCTTGTAACGTTTCTGACACGTCTGTGCAGACAGGGATCGTATTTTATCGTATTTTATCGTATTTTATCTGGTTATATAATACAATTTTATATTCTATAGGAAACTAACGATAGAAATTCTATCACTATCTATTGTATTCTATATTTACAAGCACGTCCGGTGCTGTCAGGGGATAGGATTCATATCTGAAGCAAGAACGATACAGCTTAAAGAAAACGATTCAAATTGATAGCGCAATCAATTTAAATCGTTTTATTTAAGCTGTATTGTTCTCACACGCAACTTCAGATATGAATCCTATCCCCTGACAGCACCGGACGTGCTTGTAACGTTCCTGACACATTTGCAGTGCGATTATGTAACTTGTTAAATGCAATTAACGATAGAGCTTTTCTATGGTATAGAAAATGGTTAACTGTCGTTAACTGCATTTATATACGATAGAATACTATTCACATTTGTGAATTCACGGACCAAAATCCATATTCAAAACGATAGAAAACGATAGAACGATAAAATTTTATTCTATCGTTCTCTATAAATTTTTTTACCAGAATACTTTTAATCAAGAAATATAATTCTATTGCGGTTACAGTTACACTTAAAAAAATTGATGTCCTTACTAAATAGTTACAGACAAAAAGCAACTTTTAATCTTAAAATTATTATATAGCATTTGACTCCCAACTTTGATGTATCAGATAATTTATTTAAATAATGATAATATAACAATATATAAATGTGAATTTTTTCTTTTTTATAGAGATAAGGTCCTATATAATATATTTCTGCTGCTTCTATAAAGTGCAATCAACTCTTGAATAACTACTTGTGTAAGTACACGATAAAAATTAATGGTTTCAAAACTGAACATACTGCAGCTTGGAACATTATTACATATACTACATAGTATTAAAAAAAATACAAATAAGTTTATAAAAATAGGAAATACATACTGTTATCATAAGACAAGTTACAACTGATAAAAGGTATTTTACTATTTCACAGCGCAAAGTGGATTAAAAAAATGTGTGCGCAGAAAGAGATACTACTTAATACCTATTTATTAAAAACCATTTTAATACATCGTTACTTTCTGATATTATATATACATTACATACATAATACGCGCATGTGTATAATATCATATATCTCTCAACTATATACAGATCAAATAAGAAGAAAAGCATATATGCCGTGTGATTGTTCTTTCACATAATTGCTTTTTCCTCTCTTCTCCGACACGACAGACTGCAAATCGCACTGTAAACAAATTCACATTCGAACTGTAGTTCACTGTTCTGATCGCACGGCGATATTTTCACTGTTGCAGTTTCATGGATCTCGCAATGATTTACAATACTATCTGCAACACAGATATCATACACGACGCCGAAAATATATTGTACACACTTGGTGACAGAGTTGGGAACGTTATTTAAAAAAAGTAACGCGTTACCGTTACAGTTACTAAGAAAGTAACGGTTCGTTACTTTTTTGTTATTTTTTTATAGTACTAAAATAAAATACGTAATTGATTTTAAAATTAAATTATTGTTTTTATGCTTAAATTATTATTTTTGGTGTAACCAGTTCATTTAAAAAGAACAAACTATTCAAAACTGCAATAATATACAATATACAATAATCTTGAGTCAGAGAACTAATATCTCTTTATGCGCTTGAGTCTATTTTCTAATCTTTTATTATTCTTCACATAAAAATTATTGTCGGTACAGAGCCAGATTTTACAATTTAGTTCTTGAAGATTTTTAATAAATTTAATAATAGGCTTAATGTAATATATACACACACTCGTTCCATGGTTTCTTACAAAAATGAACTACACTAAGCATACTTATTATTAAATTTATCAAAAATTTTTAACAGCTAAAATTTGTACTAACTTGCCATTGTACTAACAATCGTTTTTACATGAGGAATAAGATAAAATCACATATTGTCTTTCAATGAATATCGAGATATTTCTATCTAATCAAAAATATCTAACTACGCTACAACGTGCGATTAACGCATTGAATAGAAATAACTAAAGTAACGATAAAAATAACAATTAAATTCGTTGTTGTTATCGTTACAGAAAAAAGTAACGATCGTTATCGAAAAAAGAAGTAACGGCAATGGTAACGGCGTTACAAGCTACTTCCCAACTCTGCTTCTCTGACTTCTTTGACGAAATAAATATCTATCTTTCTTCTTACATACATTCTTCTCCTACATAATCGGCATTTTATAAAATCTAGCTGCAATGAACAAAGAGGTGACATCCGTCATATGTTCTGAAAAATATCCTGCAGAATCGTCCGGAAGGACAGTTGTCGAGACCTTTTTGTTGCATATGGAATATCTTTGAAGAAGGGTACACGAAATAAAACCAGTTCTTTCGTCCCTCCTAAGCCTTTCGCGTAGTGTTCCCATCACTTCATAGGGTTAAGACGCACCCTTTTCACGGTTAACGTTCGGTCGCAAGCAAGAATTCGTATAATATAATTGCACGATGCGATTTCCATTCGCAGAAAGATTCGTCGGAAGGATTGTAATATTAAAATCAAGAGACTGCAACAGAGGAGGGCTAGTCCGCACATCAATTTACATCTCCGCTTCCCGTAGCAGTAACTTTGCAATTACAATTTCGTAATTATATAAACATTCGACGTTATTTCACACGTTGATATCTCTTTTTCTCATTCTCTCTTCTTTTTCTCTGCATTTTACTCATAATACTGATTTCTAAGATTTACAATTGTAATTCGTTTTCGCATATAATCACAATACTTGCGTGTCAATGTTTTCTTATGTTATAATGTAATTTTTATAATTACTCACATAGCAAAAATATCCCGAATATATCATAAGAATATCCTACAGATATTGAGATATCTTTATAATATCCTTGTGATGTATTCGGGACATTTCTGCTGTGTGGGCACGCTCGTGATCTCTTTCTCTTTCTTCGTTCCCCTTTTTCTCGGTATAATCATTGCATAAAATTTAACGCCAATTTGTAAACATAAAGTCTTTTGCGACCCATCGAAAGTTCTCTTCGTCCCAAACACGTCGGAAACTCAACCTAAGAAGTCGACCGAATCTGTCAGCCTTTTCAGCTCCGTCTTCACCGGTATTCCTTTAAGCCCGTATCAGACTACCCATTGCACCGGCCGACCCGACTGCCGACTACGACTGCCGACTCTCAATGGACCAATCACAATGAGGCGCTGACTCGGTAGTTTGATACGGGCTTTATGCGGTTACTCTTTTTCCTTCGTCGCACGCGACTCAAATCGCGATCGAAGGAGCGATAAACTCAAGCGAAGGCGTGTACGCGCGTCAACACGTCGTCGTTTTGCCCATGATGGCCGTGATCGCTTCGTATAGCTTCGTAGTCTGTCGATCACATGGAGTGTTGAGGCGGCGGCAACATGATCTCATAGCCGGTCGGCATACTCTGCTGATGATGATGATGATGGTGATGAGAGCTGGACATCATCTGGTGATGCGTCTGCTGGTAATATTGGTGGTGCATGCTGGAGTGACTAGCATAGTACACCGAGCTCTGTTCCACGTCTTTCCCTCGAATTTGAAAAATGACGCTTTAGAATAACGGAATTCGGAAACGGTATTTTATACAATAGAAGTTCGTGTCGTGTCGATATCGCGATAATTGTCTCAATTTGTTAATTCCGATTTATAAAACCGCAATGTTATCTTTCGCGAATAGTCATGAACTGAATAAATAGAAATCGGGAATCTTAGGCTTGTATTAATAGATATTACCTTAGATTGCGTTCCATAACGTCCTTTTTGAGAAAATTTTACTCGATACTCTATAGTATATGTAACGTAAACTATAAGTATTGAATAAAATTTTTCTCAAAAAGAATGTTTTGGAAAGTAATCCTAATAACAATCCTTGATTTCACGTTTTCGAAACGTATGAAACGTTTAATGACGATAGTAAAACTCTTCGAAAATGTTTCTGAACGATACGTGCTATCTAGGTACTTGAAACTGTTCTACGTAAAATACTCAGATTTGAATTTAGAATTAGATGAGAGCTTTTTCCATTTAAATTATACATATATGTAATATTACATTTATACAATCGTGATTCAGCTGAAAAACTCACGTGTAACTCTAAGTTGAAATCTGAGTGTCTCATCTGAAGCAAGTTTCAAGTAATATTAATTTTACGGACTAGAAATTAAGTATCAAGAATGAGTGAGATTGCAAATCACAAATGAAAGAAAGGCACTAAATTAAATTATGAAATTGTGACTGTTTATTATATAAATTTTGGAACAGCAATATAAGTTAGAATTACTATATAATCGTGACAAAATATGATATATTAATTTAATTGTAATTAAATAATAAACGTCTCATAAATTATAATATTCTCAGAGAATGCTCGAGACATACCTGTATCGTACACGCTGCGCCCGTAACAAAGGGCCTTGACGTCGTTCATAGGACTCAATCCGCCGTTGTGAGAGTGAGCGGTGTGAACAGACGACGGGGTGACGGGAGTGGCGTAGCCGTGATGAGGCCCCATTGGGCTCATACCCATCGGGCTGCACGGATTCATGCCAACCGGCGACATGCCTATGTTCGATAAGGGTGACATCGCGAGGTTTGGACTATCCGAGTCGATGCTCTGAAGAGATTGAATGCTGCCGCCGTTGCTCACTGAGCTGCTGATCGCACTGTTGCTCGTGGTCTGACAATTCAATGGTATCATGTCCCTGCGAAGAAATGACGCCTCTTTACTATTGAATCCTCGATCAATACTTTTGATCACTGTTAAATGATAAAGTTTGACCTCTAATTCGACGCCAAGTGGTGTATTTTCACCACTTATTTCAGTATCGTTACATATTTTCATTATACAGTTCTTCTGATAATTAAGACAATTATCAATGCTAGTGTGTAGGTAGAGCGCTTGAAACTGAATAGAAAGTACTATTACAGTAATTGTTCCTATTGCAGCATTCAAGTACGATGCAATAACTCATGAAAAAATGTTTATGACAATTAACTTATTACTTCAATATTTCACGAAACGGAGTGAAGATCATGAAAAAAGTGTAACTTTTGAAAAGTTATTGTATTATGTTTGGATATAGTAATAGGAATAATTATTGCAGAACAGTTTAGTTTCATTTCATTTCAGTTTCATTTTATTACAAAAGGAAAAATTTGCCGTAATTTTGCCTTACTGCTAATTAGACTTTCCTCTCGTAGAATGCTCGGTTCAGATATTCTTATATCGAAATAGTTTGCTTAGAACGAATTGTTAATAACTGACGAGTTATTAATGAATTGTTAACGAGAATGTCAAGAGGTCTCTCATATAAATTAATTGTTCCAGAAACAAAAATATATCCCTTCGACGAGAAATACGTTCTATCACGGTCTCAAGATGATACTGCTGTTATGAGTGATCTTGTTGCTCAGTACTCGTAAATTTTGCTTGTTTCTTTAAATGACGTTATCAAAGTATGATTGATATCTTCTGCATTGTGCATCGTGTGACACATACATTGTGCATCGTGTGACTAGCTTTATACCAGATCCTTTGTTGCTCTTTTGTTTTATTTTACCTGGAAAATCCGTAAAAACATCTCGTCGTTGTCTGGGAAGATTTAATGAAAAATATCGCTCGACTTTAAGTAGCTCCTCGTTTTTTATCTTTTCTAAAGGTCTAAAAAACATGGGACTTAGAAAAGGACATAGTTAGCGTTTGAATACGGTCAAGAATACGGCCTCTGTACAACAAAATAATCGTCGTTAAGAAAATATACAACACATATGTGAATTATGTTGAAAGAATCGTCGTAATAGCAAATGTATTATTAGGCGAAAGCAGTTTGAATAGGACTTAGGGCCGATTGTTCCAACTGACCAATTGTCTGAGCTGAGTTAAATTATATGTCTGTCTTCGTTTCTTCTTTAAATAAAAACACAACTGGTAGTTATGTTACGAACGAAAGGTTGGAACAATCGATCTTTAAGGTCAGAAATGTCCTCATCCCGACAGCAGAAACAGATTAGGTCAGCATTTCAGTAAAGAATATGAAATTAAAATAAAAATTCGAATTAGAACATAGAGCCGATACAACTTTTTCTCCCATAAAGCTCCATGATATTCTTTTAAAAAGAATGAATTCTTTTTTTGAACATATGGCAATGAGCTTTTCTAAAACTTTTAATGAATGATTATTATCAATTATATTGTTTCTGGAACAATTAATTTATATGAGAGGCCTCTTGACATTCTCGTTAACAATTCATTAATAACTCGTCAGTTATTAACAATTCGTTCTAAGCAAACTATTTCGATATAAGAATATCTGAACCGAGTATTCTACGAAAGAAAAGTCTAATTAGCAGTAAGGCAAAATTACGACAAATTCTTCCTTTTGTAACAAAATGAAACTGAAATGAAATGAAACTAAACTGTTCTACTGCAATAATTATTCCTATTACTGCATCCAAACATAATACAATAACTCTTTAAAAGTTAAACTTTTTTCATGATCTTCACTCTGTTTCATGAAATATTGAAGTCATAAGTTAATTGTCATAAACATTTTTTCACGAGTTATTGCATCATACCTGAATGCTGCAATAGGAAATAATTATTCATTACAAGAGACAAAAAATGTTCCTTGTTAAAAGAGGTAATTATTAGTTAAAATTATTAGTTAAAAGAAGGAAACTAAACTGAGTAATCGCTTTTCTTAGCAGAATGCAATATATGGTAGAAAATATTTTTCTCTATGCATGAATAGTCTCGCAATTATGATTATTTTATATACTCCTAACTTCATCAGAAAAAATGTCCAACCGTTTTGCAAACAAGTATCGTGCGAGTATACGTGCGTGTGTACGTATGTATACGTATCACTCACGGTGGTCCCATGTGGTTACAATTCCGCCCATGACCGTACGCCCGCATGGTACTTTTCTCTCTCTCTTTTTCCGCCCTGTACCTGCAGCCCAACATATATAATGAATTTTTATGGCTGCGTTTCAAGGTCCAAACCCAAAGAGCATACGCTCCGCATACGCATCATTTCGAGCCCTTTCTTCGTCCTGGAGAATGAGTCTAGCGTCCTCGAACGAGGGTTCGATTCCACAATATTTCGGGACGGCTGTTAACATTGCCTGCGTTATGTTGTAATAAGTGCGACACTCGAAGTGGGATATTCGAAATTTTTATAATGTAAAGAATCAAGTTCTTTGAGAGAGACGAGAGAATGCAAAAAATATATATGATTGTGAAAGAGAGAGAGAGTCCTATCGGTGTCAACGAAATATTTCGATTAGTAGTAGGTAATCATTTATAGTTTTGCTTATTTGAGAAGACAAGGTTATTACTATTACGTTATTTAATATTGATTGTGCTTGGAGAAACCTAAGTAGAAAAGTTGCCAAGGAAAAACTCGTTGCTAGCCAGAAACCGGCTGATCTTTTTTGGCCAGTATTTGCTAAAATTAGATAAGAAAAAATGGTAATTAAAAATAAAACCACAACGATTGAATAACAACACTGTAGACTGATTTTGTAACTTTTAATGATGATTATGTTGTTATACAGAAGCCATATTTTTGACGCGTATTCGAGCGCTAAGTATACCTTTTCCAATCCCATATTTTTTATATAAGTATCTAGTATAAAATTGTTTTATCTTGAGAATCAGAAAAGCGTACTTAACGAATACGCATTGCGAATACCTCAGATACAATACATGGTAGAAAAGCTGTGTAACGACAACGATATAATGATAACGACATTGTTGTTAAAAGAGTTAGTGAATCGACTTACTGATCAATTACTAGCTAGGAAGAAATCGTTCTTTCTACGTAGGGAGATATCCATGTCAGGCAGTCCGCGTCATGCAGAAATGTCGGTCTTCCAGCATCTCCAGAGTGGCTATTCCATATAAGTTTACTGACGACTGTCGGTTTGATGTCATTGCACAGATACAATTATATCACAAAATAGCAATTGCATACCAAAATGCATACAAAAATACAGTTAAAATCCAACAGTATCGAGCACGACCGTGTTCGGTACAAAAGTCGCGAAGGAACGCGACGGGCCGCGTGGCTGCTGCTCGAGCGACGAATGTTGTTCGGCGAGCTAACGAGGAGGAAGGCGCGTCGTCCTTGTTCTCGTGCGGCACACGTAAAGATAAATCGAGGTAGCGACTGAGGGCCGGCCGTGGCCTTTATGTAGTAAACTATTGGTAGTGCGAACAGCTCAATGGTGAAACGGGAGATGTAACCGAAGCTGCGTCATAAAACGGTAATGGGGCGTCGCGTTTCCTTTTCCTGAAGCCTTCGGGGGCCCGAAGAGGGTGGACGAGAAAAGGGAAGCTCGAGTCGGTCCTTATCCACCGAAAAGAATTGTTTTCTCCGACAAGAAGGCGCGTCGCGAGAAGAGAACGTCGGCAGGAATGAAATCAAAAATTGTCCCGCGTATGGTCGGTCCTCCTCCACGCAAAAGAATCGTTTCCTCCGATAAGAAGGCGCTGTGCGCCGCGAGGAGAGAACGTCAGCAAGAATGGATAAAGAAATTGTCCCGCGTATGGTCGGTCCTCCTCCACCGAAAAGAATTGTTTTCTCCGATAAAAAGGCGCTGTGCGCCGCGAGGAGAGAACGTCAGCAAGAATGGATAAAGAAATTGTCCCGCGTATGGTCGGTCCTCCTCCACCGAAAAGAATTGTTTTCTCCGATAAAAAGGCGCTGTGCGCCGCGAGGAGAGAACGTCAGCAAGAATGGATAAAGAAATTGTCCCGCGTATGGTCGGTCCTCCACCGAAAAGAATTGTTTTCTCCGATAAGAAGGCGCTGTGCGCCGCGAGGAGAGAATGTCGGCAGGAATGGTTTCAGAAATTGTCCCGCGTATGCAAGCGCGAGAACAATCGATTCGTTGAATTCTCTCGATAGCTTGAACCTTCGAATTGGTTGTCACGAAGGTCCAAAAGAAAACTTGGTGTATCACAAAAGTGCCTAGGAATATCACTTGACTCAGGAGGCACAAGGACGCCCACGATGGAGAGGTGGTAAGTACGTACGACGACAGTGATGAGTAGACTCGTGGACCAAAATTTCGTGCGACAGCAATGGCTGACCACACCATGCACGTACATATCACACGTGGTGTGAGTTCGGGAGGCTGGTGCGTGCGCGCGAAGAAAAGAACGGACCTGCTGCGAGAGCGAATGTAGAGTTGTTATGGCTACGACGGTGCGGTCATGGCCTGTCTGTCCCCCACTGTTTCTCTCTGCTGGGCCTCTGACGGACCCACAAGGTGGAGCTTGAATTTCGCTCTCTCTCCCTTTCTCTTGTCGAGCTCGTTAAAATCAATTATATACGAAGCTATTTTTTACCTTAAAAGCTCTGGTAATTCGATCATTTTGTATTAGTTCACCATTCCGTGTCCTTACTTGAAATATGCCATTTAGAATAAATGCCACTTGGGACAAAAAACTCATCAGGAAGTTCTTGAAAAAAAGAGTCTGACTTTTCGACAGGCCAAATTGTAGGCCAATGTAGGTTACGTTTATGCTTTGTATGAAAAGAGTCGTGGTGACTATAGAGACTCAAAAACTGGTCAATGCCGCTATCGCTAATTACAAAAGAAAGCACATTTGTGTTAGTTGATTCGTCAACGCTTATTAATGCGTACACTGAGGGAGAAAAGTATTTAAGAAATAAAAGATCTTTATTCGATACTAACAACGTAACTTGGATATCAATAACGTATATATACTTATATTTTTCAGACAAGGAAATATACATTTCCTCGAAACTTTAGCTCCTTATGGAAGCAATTATTGATTCTACTTGAATAAAAAATCTATATTTAAATAAATATGTTATTAGTACCCACAATCCGAATAATAATTCTTTATTTTTTTGTATGATTGTCGAGGAAGAAAACCTTCTCGCAATTTCTGCAACATTTCCAATTGTATGCTTACAATCATATTGTATTTGATCGATCTCGTCTATTCGCTGTTGTCTCATCCCTACAGCGCCAAGTTACTGTTATAATATTACGCACAAACGGAGACAAACGGATCTCTTTCTCTCTCTTTTTCTTGAGTTGATTTTGTACGTCGCTCCGAGAATTTTACTCTCCATCTTAACGCGTTTCGACTAAGAGGGACAGAGAGAGAGAGAGAGAGAGTCAGAGAGAGAGAGAGAGAGAGAGAGATTAAGTCAACGCTGCCGATCTTATCGTAATTTGCCGGCCCGTGTTATATCAATAAGGGGCTGAACACGCGTCCGGTATTATCTAAGCGTGACTCCGTCCGCATTTCTCTTTCTGCGCTCCCCTACCGCCGCTTTTTCTCCGGTATATCATTTACCAATAAACGTCGCGCCTAACATAACAAGTCGCAACGTTACGACCGCGCGATCCGGTCAGACCTTATTCCCATTCATAATCGTTACAAAGGACGTCAACACGGCGCAGACATTAATTAGATAAGCTCGCGGATTAGATAATCAACAGCGGCGAAAAGGAGAACCGCGCGACGAATACCCGGGGAATGCGTCTCACGATTATATCATCGCTTGGTTATCGTTCGAGTCCGATAAATATTTTCGCGGTGGGCAAGATATATGGATTCCTGCAGCGATAATCATGAAATGAAAGAGGAAAAAATCTGTGCTAGAGTCGTCTAGTGAGACGGATAATGTAGTTCATACGCTGGAAAGTATGCCGAAATTCGAAGTAACATTCAAAACGTGTGTATCTTAAAAGAAAAGAAAAATAGGTATTTCTTTTATGCAAATTAACTAAAGTATTAGGATGAGGTACTGGTAGCTCACAATGTAACGATACACCTAAGGGCAACTTTCTAACCCTTTTTAAATTACATTTTGATGGAAAAAACTGCCGCCAGAATACCGTCAGAGCACCGAGAAACAAGTGCACCTATTGTCACATTTATTTCACATTTATTTTTTGGAAACCCAGCGAACTATAGAATATACATCAACTATAGTACACGCGTCATCAGAGAAAGAGAGACTACTCTACAACGATTTTTATGCGGATAAATAACTAATAATTTTACTTAAAAAAATCATTTTACGAAAAGATTAATCAAAATTAACCGATGACTTACAAAATATGTGGAGTATGTTCTCCCAATTTTCACAAATGAATTCAAACTTGCAATCTTTGCACCAGGATTATGCGAACAACGTGAGATCCCTAAGTATCTCTTAGACGAAAATTAAAAGCGGGTGCTGTTCACGGAATTAATTCGATCAATTTTTTCGAGCATATAATGCTAACTTCTCAATAAGCAAAAGAGCTTCCCATAGTATAATTAATTTCTAAATTTCCATTTCTCTTTCTCTCTCTCTCTCTCTCTCTCTCTCTCTCTCTCTCTCTCTCTCTCTCTCTCTCTCTCTCTCTCGCTGTAACTACACTAATAAAAATTAGACTTTGTCTAACCACGAAACAGCAAATTTAACATCATTACGAACCAACAATGTAACGACTAAACCACAAACTCGATTCCATATTTCAATGAATAATTAACTAGTAACGAATTAACAACGAGGTAGAAAAGTTAATCTAGCTTATATTAATTAGCTACTAGCTTTTGATTTATGCCTGTCAATTACGTCTACTCGTTTGACATTCTTGCGAATTTCTTAATTTCCTTTTCTAAATCGTCAAGTTTGGAAGTTTGCGAAAGTAAAACAATGGAGGAACTCACGTTCTCGTCTGCGGCGTGCGATCCCTTTGCCGGCGATTCTTGAACCAATTGGACACCTGAGTCAACGTCAGGCCGGTCTTTTTTGCGAGATTCTTCTTCTCATCCGGCGTGGGGTATCGGTTTTTCATGTAGCACTCCTTCAGAGCGTTCCTCGAGCGCTCCTTGAAGCAATAAACGGTCTCCTCGCCGTCCCAGATCGTCTTCGGCAACGGGTACTTTTTGCGAAGCCGATACTTGTCCACAGCGCCTAATGGTCGGCCACGGATCTTCTCGGCTTCGCGGTAGTGTGATTTGAACCACATTTGCTGCAACTCGGGGTGGCGACGCGGCGAGAAAGGGTGGCTCTCCAGGATCGAGTAGAGCTCGTGATAGGCTCCACGATGAAAGGCTACGGCGGCACGCGCCATCAGTACGCTCTCGCCCCCGCGAAGCAGTTCGCCGGGCGGTAGGGACCAAAGAAATCTAAAATAAAAAGAAATCTGAAGTCATTCCTAATGAACTCTTCCCGGAACAAACACGACTGTTGATCTCAGTTCATGTGACCCGATCTGAGAGAAACATAAGCTACGTTCGCTTTGGATGCCTTCGTGTTGATAATTGATAGTGTTATTCGCTTTGCTTAATGCTTTGTCTCTGTCACTCATTGTATGCTGAAGGAAGATAGAATAATGCTTTCAACACGAAAACGTCCAAAACGAATGCAGACAATTTGCGCATCTTTATCTCTTTCAAACGTGTGCTATGCCTTGAGTAGACTATACAATGCGAAAGGAGAATAACACTCCATAGTGATGAAATATAAAATAAAGACAGTAACAGATAGATAAACTGGTAGATAAACAAACTGATAGATAAATGGACAGTTTGAATGATCTTTCTTTTAACTTTTCGTCTAGTGTGAAATATAAGCTAATATAAACAAACAGTGCCTATTAGGTCGTTTACACCACGGAATGGATCTCAAACAAAGCGAGAAAAAGAGAATAATAAAACGTAAAACTTCTACAAAGTGGTAGGGTAAAATGTAGAAGCCAAATATGGAAAAAAGGCATGACATTTTAATGTGACGTTTGATCCCGCTTTTACGATTTTTACCTGGACAGTTTTTCGATGTCCTGGCTCTGTGACAACGCCTCGCACATACAAGATATCTGCTCAGGCGTGAAGTTGCTAGTGGTACCACCAAAAGAGAGAGTGCTGATGTTAACAATATTGGCGTTTACACTGGCGGCTGTGCTGCAAGTAGACAGCTCTTGTGCATACTGAGGGCTACCGTTCGACGTAGGGGTCAGGTTCTGTGGATGATGAGACAAGCCGAGACTGGACATCGACGTCGTGTTGCCGTACTGAGCGGTTGCGTTGCGATGAACAGCGCCGATTTGACTGTTGCAGTCGCTATTCGGCGATGACAGTTGATCCGAACTGTCAGACATTCTTAGCTGGTACCCGCGACGAGACTTTCATGAACTTGTTAGCGACGTGTCGGACGACTGATTGGGTTCATCAAGTTCATTCGTTGCTCGCTGAAAAGTAAGTAAGCTTTCTTCTGAACTTTTTTCGACTGACTTCGCAGCTAGCTGAACTTCAACGACTATGTTGCGACTGACTCAGCAAGTACTTTGTATTCAAATAGGAAGGATCATAAGTTATTTTGTTTCACAATTAAACTATTTCACGGAGACTTTTTCTAGTTCCGGTTCTTGGTTCACATAGACTGTCCATATTTCCTAAATATTATCGCAAAAAATCGATTTTCGACCAAAACATGTTCAACATAAGATATTTTTCGGAGCTGACTTTTTTGTGACTTGTATGACTTGTGCTTCTGTCGGCAGACAGATGTTGCAGTCGTTTTTGTCTTGAAGATCGTCCGCCGGATGACTGACTAATGACAAAAATAATCATCCGTTGTTTATACGTTCAAGCCGATGCGACGGTTGTTTAGTGACGCGCGGTTCATTCATACCGACGTGAGACTCGATTCTCATCCATTGAGTTTTCCTCGACGCGGAGTCGCACCGTTCTTCCAGCGGAAGTCGCGAGCCGCGCATTCGGCAGTAAGTCGGACTTGAGAACGCTGATGGGATTTATATGTCGCGGCTATATCTGAAAATATTATCGACTTCGTATGAGAGATCTCGTTCAATTGTCGACAGCTAGCTCTTCAATCTCGACGAGGATCTACGATCTTCCTACGAACACGGCGGTGACTATTTACGTCAGTGATTGTGTCTTCCCCGCACATAATTCGAATTGTGGAATTGATTGTCCGATCGTCAGCGCGAGCACTCTTCGAATTCAGCACTTCGGCATTCGCGATTCGCCGATTTGCATCCTCGGTCGAAGAAGAGAGAAGAAAAGAAGAGCGCAAAGTCCCACGATTCCGATCACACGTATTCATTTGTCCTTCGGAGCCGCGTCTGATTACCGCACCGCAAGCAAATAGCTGCAAACCTGAGTTCGGCAGGCGCCTGGAATTGAATCTGAACGCGACGACGGCTCATAATGAATTATGTAATCATAATGCGACACTCGTCGTATGCGCGATTATTCATCGCGAAAACGTGACGATTCTTTCGATGGATATCCATTATATCACTTGTTTTTTCAGAGAGTTCCCTCGGAATCCAAATATTTTCTTTACTTAATTCTCAGAATTCACATTGACCGCGGATCGGTCTCACAAATATCGGTCTCACAGAAAAGTGACCTGAGGATTCTCGATATTGAGAAATCGCTATCACTGTTGGACCTGGCGGTTACAGACGTTTCAAACGTCACTACGCTTTTCCGAAAATGACTATCCGTCGGTTGCCGGCGTCGACGGGCGATCGCGACAGGCAACAGATTACGTAACCGACACTTGCCAAGAGAGCACCCTCGGCCGCACGAGAGCGTCACTGAGTGACCAAGTCACCAAGTTAGTAAGGCGAACTGGGTTGCCTCGCGCACGTAGTGCGGCCGCCCGATCTCGCGCTTCCGCTGTTGGATTGTGGTCGTGCTACCGCCTCCACTGGCTGTTGTAGTGGTGATCGTCCGGTCGCGCGCGATGCTGACGATGCTGATGCCGGTTCTCTTTCTCTTTCTTTCTCTCTCTCTCCTCCCCTCTCTCTCTCTCTCTCTCTCTCTCTCTTTTCCTCCCCATCTCCTTGTCCTCTCACATACGTACGCACACACGCATGCACACGCATTCTCTCCTTCTCCCTTCTCCTTCTCCCTCTCTCTTCCTCCTCTCTTCTCCCTCATCGCTGGTTCCCCTGCTCGTCCTCCTTTTTTTTCGGCAATGAAATCGTGCGATGTGCGAGTACAGCATGCCCGGCGATTGGTCCGAAGCAACGTATAACGCGACATCATTGGTCGCGTACAAAATATATAGTACTCAGGGGCGTTTCTACCCCCAACCGACAACTTCACCCCGTAGGACGCCGGCTTTCCGATGCTCCACGTTGCTGAGATTCTCACCTGGCGACCTCCGCGACGGACCGATTACCTGGATATATCGAATTTCGGCGATTCCTTCCTTCCTTCCTTCCTTCCTTCCTTCCTTTCTTCTTTCCTTCCTTTTTTCCTTCCTTCTTCGTCGATTTCGAGTCGAGGCTCGCGTAGTTTTTCTTCTTTCCTTCTTTTTTTATTATTATGCAACAGCTGCACGACGGGAAGTGCGGCGTCGCATGTTGCACCTTCTTGCCGATGTTCGACTGTCGTTCGCATTCTTATCAGCGGCTCCTCTCCGCGAGTATCAGCGTATCTTTTATTTCTGACGCGGATTGTCTATAAATAGGAACTGGATAAATTTTGGAACCATATCCTGCTCACAAAAATAGATACAAATGTACAGATACGGATTCATATATCATCATCCCTTATCTCTTGACGGAAACCTTCGGATGAAATCGAGGTAATGGAACGAGAAGCGTTTAAACAGAGAAATCTCTTAATAATAAAACAATTAATATCGGTTGAATGTTTGAGAATACTTCTTTATTCTTACCCGGCACATTGATAAAATCACATCTTCGAGATTCTCGATTGATTACGTATGTCTCTATTGCAAATAGCTCTTTAATTTGAACATTTTACATAAATACGGTATTCAACATATATACGCACAATTATAATATGTCACAAATATAAGACTTTTATTTGAAAAGAGATAACAAAGGCTTATGCAACAAAGTAGATAATGAAGCAGAGGAAGAAAAGGGAAAGACTATAAAAAATTTACAGTAGCGAAGTTTCAAAAGCTTACTCTGCTTTGGTCATTAAAGAATCGCATCCAAACACATTTGGCGAACACATGTGTCAGTTACGTAAGATGGTTGAAACAATGCAATTTTCTGAACTCAGATCATTACTTGCGCTTCACAAGTGCGAGAAAATGTGAATATTTGCACGGATCATAAATATTATTGTAGATAGAGGTGTGAGAACATTTTTATTTTAATATTTCTATTTTTAATATTTCTATATTTTTAATATTTTTATTTCATTCTAGATAACACAAGATTTGAAATAGTTATGTGAAATTTGCTGTTAATTTAATTATCAATTAAGCTACCAATTGAAATAAATTTTTCTCGTTAACTTCTTTGTAACAAATTTGTAATATTTAAAAGTAAATGGATGGAGTGGAAAAATCAATTCATCAAGGACTTGATCTTATATTTGGGAGACTGTGCATCGCAACTCACAACTCTTAATCAATGATATTGAGTTATTTGCAGACGATTTTTGTTTCGCTCGGCAGACACTGTTTTCCGTTACCGCGGAGCCGATCGGGGAATTACGAGCAGACCAATAAACACCGGAAACGAAACGTGTCAACGTCACCGTACACCGTGTTGTGATTCCGCGCGACGCTATCGTGCCTCGTGTGTTTGGCTAATTTCACAACAACCAAGCAACAATCGTCCACCCCTCGCCGTGGGTTCTGACGAAAGGAAGTCCGCTATGGATTCGTTTACCGATCATTGTTCACACGTGACGTTTTCGACGATCTATCGTGCATGATGGCCAGATTGAATGATAGCGAAAAATCTCATAAAATTTCATAAAATTAATGCTTCTCTTTTTTGCAATAAAATTACGGTTGATATAAATTTCATGAAACCAAAGCTGTTGCCAAATAATTACTTATTCACTATCTGGTGTTACATTATGTATTCCATCATATTAAATTATTATGTTAGTGTCGTTAATGTTAACTGTCGTTCTAGTACAAAGATCTAAAGTCCTTTGAAAATAATTTTGAAAAAGAATTATTGCAGATGCGAGGTATCAAGGAAGACGATTATCATTTTAATAGAACGTTTACTTTAGCGGTAAGATTTCCACCCCTTCGCGAAGGTCGTGGGCTCATCTCCGGAATCGTATTATGATACACATTTCTGCAAACATGATCCAACGACAAACGTAACTTTAGCTGCAGATCGGACCGAATACGAACTCGTACACGCCTAAGGGATCGGTTTCGTTCATTCACGACCATCGCGTATATCGTTACCGTTCTTGCACGTGCGAGTTTCGATCGTTTACCTGTACCTTTACCTTCATCTTTAAATTTCAATTAGAACGTCACGTCTCAAATTATCATTCATGAATAAATAAAAATAAGACTTCTCTCTCTCTTTCTCTTGATTTAAAAAAATCGATGAAATCGCATAAGGAATAATCACAACGATATGATAAATTTAGGATCTTCATCATATGACGGAAATCTGCCGGTTGAAAATAGCGAGGAATCTGGCGGGGCCACCAGCGTTATATAGATCAATGAACGCCGATGCACTGGCAAATGAGCAAAGATGTCTTTCCTCGAGCAGCGAAACGAGCTCGTTACGCCTCGCCAATCCTTTCTGCTCCGCCTTTCTCACTAATTACTGCTCACGTGTTTTCCTCGACGACGTAGCGCTGTCATATATCCCTGATGTGTAAAGGATGTTTCTATCGAGACAGAACTGAGTCAGAGAAGTCCACTAAACTGGCATAATCATACAAGTCAAATTCAAACGATTTGCAGTCAGTATAATTAAATTTCATGGAAAATTTTACAGGAAATCGAGACAATAAGATTCTTTTGATTTCGTTACTCATATACAATAGTTTTGCCTGAAACCGCGGCAAATTTTAAAGTTCCAGGTTCAACTTTTAGCTGAAGCAGCATTTTTCGTAATACTAATTAGAAGTTTTTAAGAGAGATAGAGAGAGAATTGTGGCTAATATATAGGGAAAGAGGAAATATTTAATATTAAAATTATTCATGAGATAAAGAGTCTGTTCGACGTGATACTAAATAATATCACTGCATGTGTTGAAAATGTGGAAACAAATGCCGGCACATGTCGAACAATTTCATTCTCTCTCTATTCAGTTATTCCGTCCAATATCTACCCCATCAAAAATTTATCTCATAGTCAGATGATCAGATTGCTCATAATCAATTATCTGTTTTGTATAAAGAGATTTTCGGGCCCTGATAAGTCATGTAACGCGGCGTAGCAAGCAAAACCTTATGAATGATAAGGATTATTAATAATCAGGACCTTATTAAACTTTCCAGTGGTATACTCGGGAAAGTCTCATATAAATATTATTAGGACCTTAACTTAGTTTCCGCCCGCAAATGTTAGATGGCAATGCAAACAGTTCTAGTAGTCATTACTAACGAAACAGGTAGTTTGTGATTAATTTCGACATTTCTCGATAACATTCAGTCAGCATACACAATTATTTTCCTAAACAACAATTTCTTTTGCTTTGTGAAAAATGGAACGCGATAAAGTGTTTTTTCGACATGTGCTTTTGCACTATTTTGATTTGAAAAAA